ATTCTTGCTGTAACAGTCTCGTTTGTATATGTTTGTATTACTGTTTCTGTTAATGTATTTGTTTAACTCAGTCCCTCTCTTATGTCTTTATTTCTGGCCCTAACAAGGCCACAACAATATCTATAGCTGAAGATATGAAAATTGCATACAAATTATTTATTAAATAATTTGTACGCAATTTTATGTCAGATCAATAGAGGTTGATATGCCACGAAAAAAAAAAACAACCAAACCAATAAAAATATTTAGATTTCACTATTAAATAACCCATAAAGGTGTTGATATGCCGCGAAGCAAAATCAACGAACCAACCAACCAAAAAAATATCTTTTAAGCATACTTTTTCTCGTGTTAGTTCTTTGCATCATTTTTTTTTTTTTGAGTCCTGCATTAACATGCCCCACTGGACGCATCAACGTGCCCCACCGGGTGGAGCAGGTTGATGCGTTTGACATGCTGTCATGGCGGTATTGCAGAGATACACAAGGGGCTTATCTCCCTTTGGTGATGATAAGTCACGTGGTCACATGACGGCCGCTTCGTGAGGTCACTCCAAAGAGTGACCCAAAGCGGCATTTTCTTTCATTTTAGCCTGGGTCCAGGCTGTAGCTAAATCTACCTCCACAGAAGCTTACAAGCACATGAGAGCCAAAACCCTTCCTCTCCTTAGACCAGAGTTTCCAAAACTTTTTCAGACGCGGAACTCTTCTGGGTTCAGAAATTTTAGCGGAGAACCCCATTTATATGATCGTAATATAAATATTTTCATATAATTTTATAAATAATAAGTACGTTCAAAAAGCAATTAAAAAAATAATACATATTGATATATTTTTTTAATAAAAATGTGTTTTTTTTTTTTTTCACACTTCCCACAAGTAACACGTAGAACAGAATTACTAACAATGTTAACATGAAATTTATTTCATACGTACTCAGAAGTTTTTGGGACATTCAATGAGAACAATGCTTTTGTTTCATCTTGTCAAATAATTTTTTTTCATGTTTGGCTTTATACTTGAGAATTCGATTCTCAAGTCAGCAGCAGGATTATGTCTGCTTCGATATTTAGATTTTCTAGCAGTGTAATAGGAAAATTCACTTTCATATAAGTAGCTTGGTGTTGTGTTTTTAACCGGAATATATACACAAGAAAGTTACGCCAACGATAGTCAATTAACAGCCAGAGCTTTTTTCCAATATGGCGAGAAAATTAACTTTCAGATTTATTGGTGTCATAAGTACACAGATGATATAACAATCAATAATTATTTTTCAATTCAGCAGTAGCATGTTACAATTATCATTCACTGATATATACGATATAGAAAAGTATTACAAGGTACATCACAAGATTATAGAACAATCTAAATCTGATGGCAAATATTTTTTTTTAGAAATTATTTATCAACATTAATGATGTATTATGTTAAACTTTTATTACTCTGAGATTTTGTCACGGAACCCCAGACACTTGCGGAACACTTGGGTTTCTAGGAACCCACTTTGAAAAAACCTCTGCCTTAGACCAACAAGACTTCTTAAATAGCCACAAATCGGCTTCAAAATGGAATCAAAGATTGATAACTATGAGGCGTAATTTATTTTTCTCATTGGCTAAAAAAAAAAAAAAAAAAAAAAAAAAATCGCAAAATATATCCCGTCAGTTCGCAAACATTGTTTTAGCGGGTTTTGGGATCATCACACTTGACAAAGTAAACCGGAAACAACATTTTAAGCTTCTGACATGCGCGTTGTGATATTAAAAAGAATAAAGAAAAAAAGTGAGTATGGGAGTTAGATGTATAGGTGGATTTCAAATGTCTTATCTTTCCTTTTACAAGTACTTCTACTACTTCTAACGAAAAAGAAAAAAACTCTTACTCAAACACTTACTGAAATTTGAAAAGAAAGGAAAACAAATTACAATATAGGCACATAATTTACAACATTGTGCGCCCCAAACTTTCGAAGCATCTTAACAGTTCTTTCAAAATACAAATCTGTTTTCTCATAGAAAACAATAGCCTATGTAAAAAAAATGTTTTCCTTGACAACAACAGAATTCTAACAACTTTTTTTCAGAGTAACAGTTGATATGAATTAATTTCTTAGCAACGAAAGAAATTTCCTTACTTTTCAAACTTCACAATCAAAATGTGGTTAAAAAATTGTAAGTCGAAGACTGACCGACCTCGAGCGTATCTGGTCCTCTTGGTTATTAAAAAAATATTTAGGGTTTCGAAATAGGCGTTTTCAAATATGAGATAAACTCTCACATGTTTAGAAAAACGTTCTTCCTAAAAAAAAAATTTTGCTGGTTTTCAAGGTATATTTTCTTCTTCTTCTTCTTCTTCTTCTTCTTCTTCTTCTTCTTCTTCTTCAGCAGCAGCAGCAGCAGCAGCAACAAGAGTAACCTTTCTCACTCCAGGTCACAATTTTTCTCATCTAAGTGGCTGAATCCTTTCTTGCCAGACCACAACATTCTCGCCGGCATATTGTCTCATCCTTTCTTTCTGGATCACAGTTTCCTCGTCCGGATGTCGTCTATTCCTTTCTTAAATTGCAGTGAATTTTAAATAGAAATTTTAAATAGTGAACCGAAAAGAAGTGATTCTAACCGAATCAAAGCCCGAGTCCTTATAAGGCATATATTTTTGTCTCGATTAGTTAAAAACTCGAGGATCACTTTCCAAATAAACAACGCCCATGTGCACTTTAAATTTGGCTAGTTTTACAATATCAAAGCCAAGCTTGATTTGGTAAATCTGCCAATGTTTAGACAGTCTGTTTTTATTTGGGTAGATCTTTATAAAATAATTTGGAGCTCATTTTTTTGTTTCAATCATTACACATCAATTTTCGTTCATGTTATATATATATATATATATATATATATATATATATATATATATATATATATATATATGGCCACTCGTATTCGAGGATACCTGTCTACTGGGGTGACTAGCCAATCCCTATTGCAGACGCTTGCTCAGGCGCATTTGTGTTTATTCAACACCCACACAGCCCACCTTTGGTTTATACTGAAACTATGCTGAGAAAACCTTAGTTACGGTTTCTGGGAAAGGACGTGTTATCTAGCGTGAGCAACAATTTGAACAAGGCCAGCAGGATCAAACACTCGGCCACGATGACTTGTGACTTCATGCCAGCACAGCTATCGACGGCACCCAAGGGTTCCATCTACCCTACCACTCACAAGGCGAGGTATGGTTTTCAGGCACTTTCCAAAGGTGCCGCACACTGATCGAGCCTCCAGTCCGATAACATCAGGAAGACTCCTTCCTCCCAAATTGACCACTATATATATATATATATATATATATATATATATATATATATATATATATATATATTCGTGTAACCCGCGATCTCGTGTATCATGCGAGTTTCTTTTTAGAGTGACCAAATTACAATAGACTAACCTCTTTCACACTATCTCTTTATACAATCTTCTAGTTAAATAAGTTAAAAAAAGATAATGATAACAGTATCGTTAGTAATGCTATACTCGTAGCGTAAACGCGTACAGCTATAAACAATCGAACGAGAAACAGCTAAACATCTTATAAACGTAAACAATGGAAAAGATGCATATGTTGGTATTTTATAATACTATACTAATATATGAATATTACATGCATTATTATGGGATACTAGAGTAGGTTATCAGTTATAGTGAAGTGTATGTGTGTTAAAACAGATTAGTTTGATTTAGCCTTGTTAGTTAGATAGCCCACCATAAGAGGGGTATAAAAGCAGAAAATCAAATTGTAAGGTGAAACAACAAATTTATATACACATAAATAAAGGTCTTTACAACTAAAATTCATGTATTCTGGTTGATACAAAGTCGTCAAAATGTTCGTAGTAGTCCTTGCAAGAATGAATTTATGTGTACGTAGGCAGGAACGTATGTGTGGATGTATGTATGTATGTATAAGCGTTATCGTAGGGTAAGAATGTCTTTGAAGTAATCGCTCAGTCTTAAAATGTTCCGTTCGTTTATCAAATATAAAAGGGGTGAGGGAGAAATGTAGAGATAATAATAACGATCGCTTGACGTTTGTCAAGGGACGTGTTAAAACGCTCGTCTCTTTCACTCTGGTGACAGGCGAAATTTTCCGTCTTTTATTTTGTTTGTGGGACTAGAAAAGGTCATTTCGGAATTCACTCCCGGATATGATTCGGGCCTTTCCATTGGACGACGAATAAATTTCGCGTCGGCTCGCGAAAAGGTCCGTAAAAGAATTTGTTTCTGAGAATTGAAGATTATTTGAACTTTGTTTTTAAATGTTTCCTAGTTTTCTATTGGCTGAAAAACATCAAGGTGTGAAATTTCACGAGTTTTGTTTTGGATTCGCTTTTGTGTGTGTGTTAAGCAAAGTTTGTAAATTCGAGTCTTTTTGATTTCTAACAAAATCAATTATTCAGTGCTTAACATTTTTAATTTTAAATCTAGATCTTGTTTTGTTTACTACGGTACCTTCTTACTTCATTAAATTATGTTCTGTATTCATATTTATGACTGTTATTGTAATATTTTGCTAAAGTTGTTAGGCTTAAATATTTAGCCATGCAATAGAGAATTTCCTACTGGTATTTTATAATCGCAGAAGGAGCTTATTAAATTATTAACCTTAAAAATTATGATACGTCAGAAAATAAAAATCGCAAAACAGTGAAAATTTCCCAGTTACAACTTATATTCTATTAATTAATCTGCTTCATACCAAATAAAAAAAAAAGGATCTTTAATGAAAATTATGGGAAAACGATATATCAATTTTTATATATCAAGAATAATTTTATGGGAAAATTATGGTAAAGTGCAAAACGTTTTTTTGTGATGTGTTTTATCCGTTTGGATTTCATCGGACTAAAGTGACGTTTACGCTGATGTGACTACGCATGCGCACGAATTAAACAGGACGCTGTGAATTTAAAATTTGATTTATTCTTTTCTTGGCAGATCTTCTATTATCGCAGTGTGAGATATTTAATAACAAAGATGATGGAAACATGAACAAAAAAAGAAAAAGAAACTAAATGAAATCGGCTAAACAATATACCCAAACACATATATTTCTAAAAAAATAAATAAATACAGAAGTAATTTAAATTTAGAATTTTCAGCGTCCCCTCTTCTTCATGCGCATGTGTAATCGCATCAGCATAAACATCACTTTAGTCTGATGAAGTCCTAAAAAACGAAACGGGTCACACAAAAACATTTTCCCCTTATATAATGGCTGGTTACTTGTTTCCGAATGGTACACGCGTCTGCTGAGGCGGCTAGCCTTCTCTGTTTGTAGACGCCTGCTCAGGCACATATGTCTTTATTCAAAACCCACAGAGCTCACCTGTAGTTTATACTATGCTGAGCTGACATTAGTTACAGTTTCTGGGATAATCTGGCGTGATCAACAGATTTTTTATTCACACGGCCAGTACGCTCACACCCTCGGTCATGATGACTTGTGACTTCGTGCTAGCACAAACATTGACGGCACCCAAGCAATTTCAATTTCACTCAGAAGGCTTGGGTTAACCTGTGGTATAGTTTTCATCAACTTTGCAGAAAACATGCTACTTTAAATAACGGGGAAAACAATGTACTTATACAAAACAAATTAGAAAGTGCTTTAATCTCTAGATCATTCACGGTAAATTTATGTCCATGTTCTTGACAGATATTCTATTATTATTACAATAAGGGATATTTAATGACAAAAGTGATGGAAACCTGAACAGAAAGGAAAAGAAACACAATGAAATTGGTTAGACTATATATCCAAAACATAGTTAAGAAAAAAAAATTAAATTTAAAATTCTCAGTGTCCCCTCCCCTTCATGTGCGTGTGTAGTCACATCAACATAAACATCACTTTAGTCTGATGAAGTACTAAGGGATGAAAAGCGTCATATGAAACCCTTTTTTTTCCATTTTGTCATAAATTTTTGCTTAAGACTGAAAATCTTACTTATTATAAAACGCAGGTTGTGTGTGTCTGTACGTTTATATATTGGATCGGATTTCCTACATTTTTCAACCGATTTCAACAAAACTTCACAGGACTGCGTAAAATTACCTTGCGGTGGTTCTAACAGTGCCAAAAATTGGAAAAACACAATTGTTTTTGCATGAAATCAATTTGAAAACACGATTCTGTCGCCAGAATGAAAGGGGGACAACTCATATCGAGTTATACTTATTATAAAACCCAGATTCTTTGTGTGTGTGTGTGTGTTCCTTTATATATGGGATCGGATTTCCTACATTTTTCAACCGATTTCAACAAAACTTCACTTGTTTTTGGCAGGTAGTGTTTCTTATTGTCTTGCACATTTTTTTCTTTATTTTTACATTCAGAATGCTTTAAAAATTCCATTTACAAGACAATTGTTTATAATAAAATTCTATTCAATCGATAGACTCATAACGATTGAAAACAATGTTTTTGTTTGAGTTTGGGTTTGACCAATTCGTAACCCACCCCCAAAAAAAAACAAAACAAAAAAAGAAACTAATTAAGACATGCGTGTCCGTCAACCTTAGACAATAATCTTTGTCAATTTTATTTTTCAGTTTTTATGATGGTCGATACTTGATCTATCTTTTACTGTTACATCCCCGGGCAACGCCGGACTCTCCTGCTAGTTATTAATAAGATACGATATCCCCGTTGAGTGGATACCAACTTAAAATTTTAATCAGCATATAATGTTTAAAGAAAGACAAAGTGGCCAGTCCGAGTAAGAGTCGGAGTAAAATCCCGAGTGGAAGTAGTAAGAAGAGCCATTAAGGGATCACTCCAACAATTTCTTGATTAAAAAATCTTGTATTTGCACTTTAGCTGCTCGACCAAATGTTCTTCTGTAACAACCTCCTTACTAAACTAGAGGGAAAAAATTGTGAAACCGAATAAAAACTAGAAAAACGTTTTGAATCTGTGTTTATGTCACATCACGGTCTTCAGTGAAAGCGACTATATACAAATGGTGTTATGCATAAACAACCGTCCTATAAATATTTATTTTGTGCTTTAGTCTTTATATCTTCCTTCTTTTGATTTGTATTTAAATTCATCATTCAATTTTCCATCATCATTTACAATCTTGAAAAACAAAAAACAAAACAAAAGAAAAAAAACACAAGCAAAATTAAAACAAAAGAAGAAAAAAAAAACAGCATTTACGACCAGGAAAATAAAGGCTTTAACTTTGCTTTCAGAAGAGTTTTACTATCTCACCAGTGAACTTGAATTTTGATCGAAATATTTCATGATTTCCTGAGGAACGAATGTACCGATTTCTTCTGACACGCTTCAGCTCTTCACAACAAGTGATGAGTCTCCGTATTTTAGTGTTTAAAACGTACTAATGCGTTTCGTTTCATGTTGAAAGCTTTGCATATACATGTACCGTAATTCTCCTGTATAATACTCATTTTTTTCTAAAAAAAAAATAAGCAAA